GGGGGGGGGGGTTTGCATCAATAACCTGCATCAGTGAGTAGATCAAGAGAGGTCAATTGCCCACTGGTCAGCCAGCAGCATGATGCGAGGAAAGCGAAAAGGCGCTGCTCGTCCTTCTTGTCATGGTCAGGTCAGAAGAGAGCCAGAGGAGCCGAGACGCACGTTTCTCCATTTCCACTTACGTCCATCGAAAGGTTGGCTGGAGGTCGGTGCTTCAGAGGTTCTACGGATTATACTAGGTGGTTTATTCACCCCATCCATATACGTAGTCATAATGTACCATAGACAGGTTTGCCTATCGCCTCTGACCATTGCGCCTTCGGTCCAAGCGAGTAGGCAACCAGGCAACCCGCCCACCCGTGTATAGGCGGTACAGTCCAACTACGCAATAAGTGGACAGGGCAAAAGAGACAACTGTGGACAAACTGGTATTCAGTATGTTCTACACACAAATGTCGAGAGTGCTGTGGTCTACCTGATTGCCAACTCAACAACACTATCATTCAATATTTTTAATCATCTTCCACACGTGGTTTGCGCTCAGTTCATTCCTAACCTCAGCCCTTGGTCGCTCGCAGCCTCTGTGACTTGGTGACCTGTGGGTCATACCCCCCCCCCCCCTGGCCTGACCCGGGCCGACCCAACCCGGCGCGCCCGGCCAGATGGTCTGCGCGAGGCGGGGCTGGGCTTGGTGGCCTCCACTCATCTACCCCTCCAGTCCAAAGCCTTTCTACCCCTCCTACGCCTACACTCGGGCGCGAAAAAATAGTAGGGGAGATGGAGTACAGCACGATTACCCACCCCCAGCTGGAGCAGTTGCGTTTGATCTTTATATGAAAAGTGGCAGTTTATTAGGATTTGTAAGCTTGCGCTGGGACAGAGATACTGGCTGCACATCAAAATAAAAACCATTCGCTGCGGCGGTGGAACCTTTTGATCAATGCACCCATCCCGTTGAGAAGCATCCCGGTCGGCTCCGTCAGGAGGCGGAGGGGATTATATCGTTACCAACCATACTCACTCAACTCACCCGGTCCTCGGCCGGTCCCGGTGGGCTCAGCTGCTCAGCCGAGCAGCCCCCGAGTGTGAGTTGGCTCGACGCCCCGACGAGGCCGTCAGAGGTCGGCTGGTCCACGGCCCTTGGCCTTGAGGGTGACGTGGAGCCGAGCGCGCGCCAAGGCGCCGAGCGTCGGGCTCATGGGCCCAGGGTGTCGCCTGGGCCGGTCCCGGGGTGCGGCGGCTGGCCGAACACCGTCACCGCTGTCACGGATGCGTCGTCACCAACGTCGTCACCGCCGGGCGCTCCTCCTGCTCTTCCTCCCCGCGTTGTGACAGAGCAGACAGAGGGCGCTGCGAGTGCGTGCTGCTGCAGGCAGCCAGGACGCAACGGGCGGACCCGCTCAACTGAGTCCGCGAGGCCTGAGTCTGAGAGCCCGGCGTAGCAGGCGGAGCCCCCGCCCCAGGCGCGTCGGGGCCGGGGGGTGGCGGGCGGCCGCACCGAGACCCCCCGCCGGCCCCCACGCCCTCCTCCTCCCTCACCCCCTCCGACAGGGGGCTCTTACGGTAGGCCGGAGGGTGGGGGAGCTTTCAGTACACATTTATCGACCCGGCCTTCGCTGGGTGATAGGAAGAGAGGGAGAGAGAAAGAGAGGGAAACGAGTGGGGAAATGGAGAGACTGAGAGAGACGCGAGGGCAGATCCTTTCTGGGTTGTTTCTTGACTCATCCCCCTCCCCCGTAGCGCTGCCCCAGGTGCACGCGCACCCGGGATCTCGGTGGTTGAAACCGGCCGATGCAGCATCCCCCCCATTCCCACCAGACGCTCGGGCCGCGCTACTCTGCTAATCCAGAACTGGGAATTTTCGACTGTCTGAATGTTGCTGTGGATATTTTCACCACTTTTAAGAATGTTTGTTCCTTGTCTGCAGTGGCGTGTCGAATCCTCGTAGTGCGCCAGTCAGTTGCCCGGATCAGGGGGCTGATTCACCTCGATTCGCCCCGATCACATTTTAAGTTATACTGCACCACACGCTACAGCTCTATAGAGCCTATATATAGGCTCTATAAGCGATAGGGATCATCCAGAGAGTACGCCTGTCTTTCTGCTCCGTTAGGAACCTGCCTTGTTAAGCCTCTGCAAGCTCTCACAGCGCATGGGTGGTAGGCAACATCTGAGTCTCGCAGGCTCAGGTTCGTGGGAGCAGTGCTCCCGTCTCGTAGCGCATTGTTGGTAGGCAACATCTTGCCTGAACTACATGCATGCACTGCAGGGTGGCCTGACCTGAGTCTCGCAGGCTCAGGCTCATGGGAGCAGTGCTCCCGTCTCGTAGTATGCCGAATGAAGCTGAGTAAAACGGACGTTCTTTCTGCGGACGGTCCCATATGGCCAGAAGTAGGTACACCAGAAGCTTCTAGTCGCTCAAAATAGGGTGTTGGACACGTTTTGGTAACGATTTTTTTAAAAAGGCAGTGTTCTCACGGGGGCTCACCGTGTGAGCTCTCCAATTGCACCCCTAGTGGTATACTCTTCGCCAGGTTGGCAAGGCCTCGCAAGGCCTCGCGAGAATGTGTGTGAATAATGTCGCACGTTGATGGGTGTGTGAATGCCCATTCGTGCCCTTAAGGGAGTTATGGTGTGGATTTCCCTTTGAAAATAGGAAGCTAACCTTAACCACGCGTCCGCCGGTCTGACGCATAGGACCAAGACGAAACCACTCTCGTCACCGCCACGCCGGAGCGCTGCGCTCTCTGAACCTTCGGGGAGCGCCTGTGCGCGGCACAGTAGGCAACCCGCCTGCCCCCGTGTGGCACTGTTTGCCTACTACGCCGCCTGGCTGCCAAGTTCAGCCCGTGCAAGCTCTCATAACGCCTGATGGGTAGGCAAAATCTTGCGTACAGTGCATGCGTGTTCTGCGGGTTGGCCTACCCCAAATCTCGCAGGCGCCGGGCACCTGTAATTTGCCAAATGCATCCGATATTATTTAAAATAAAAAAAAAACGGTCGGACTTTGAGGGGCGATCCCTTACGTGCACACTCTAAATGGCAGGGGAGGGGACAATTTTGGTCTTTAGCAAGATGCGTCTGTGTGCATATCTTGCGAGATGCAATTTTGAAGCTTGTGTATAGTGACAAATTTGTATCTACCAGGTGGCTGACTCACGTCGTGAACTTTCGTAACTATTCTGTACCGCATGCACGCGTGCGGGTGGGTTGCCTGCTCGCACGGGGCCTTCAGGAGCCGTGGGCAGCGAGGATAGGCAAGCCCGCCCGCACTCGTGCCTGCGGTACAGTATAACTACGAAAGTGCTCGGCATGAGTCAGCCACCTGGTACAGTTGGACAATCTAAAAATTTGTCCAGCAGGCAATACAAATTCGTCACTACCCAGATCAAAATGGTAACCTGTGCTCATATACGCATCCTGCAAATTGTCAAAAATTTTCTCTTAGACAACTCACGTTGACTTGGGCGCCGAGGAGGCCGAGGCCCCCACCGGAGCGGCTTATATTCACGATATCGTGCCGGTGGCCACGCGGGGGGCGCAGTGTAAAAATACCTCCCAGAGGTCATTCCCCCCCCCCTCCTTGTTCTCCACATCCTCTACCCTAACCACAAGAATCACAGAGAGGGTTCAGTAGCGACGCCTCGAACCCACCCTCACCTCTCTATCCTTTAGAGAGACCGAGAGAGAGACAGAGGCGCGACCGGTGATTGTGGGTCGCCTCCTCTCCTTCGGCAGATCTCGGTCCTCGGTCGCTCCAAAGTCGCATTTCTTTCGAGTTTCCGGTGGATCAGAGGCGTTGCCGCATTATGAGTGCAA